ATAGAATCTGCATACTTCGAGAAGTATATATATATGATATTCAGGGTGGGCTAGTGTTAAGGAGTGTGGCTGCTAGCATGAATAGGGTACATCTTTTTCTTGATAGAATGCGGGTCGGTCAGGAGGTATACCCTTCTGACCCCTATCCCCTTAGAATTGTCTACTTTGTGTACCCCTTGAGATGAAGTTAGATCCCCACTTCATCCNAATCTGCATACTTCGAGAAGTATATATATATGATATTCAGGGTGGGCTAGTGTTAAGGAGTGTGGCTGCTAGCATGAATAGGGTACATCTTTTTCTTGATAGAATGCGGGTCGGTCAGGAGGTATACCCTTCTGACCCCTATCCCCTTAGAATTGTCTACTTTGTGTACCCCTTGAGATGAAGTTAGATCCCCACTTCATCCGATCGTCTCTCAGCAATAACAAGCAACTTTCCTATCTCAACGTGGTCGTGGACAAGCGTGTCAACGACAGAACCATCATCTATCTCTAGGAGCAAGCCACCGCCCACGGCATCACTCCTTGAAAATGTCGTGTGGAGCCTTAGTTCTTAGCGTGGTCTCGTTTTCGTTATTTTTTCTGTCAGTTGTTTCCCGCAATTCTGCTGCGTGCGGAAAATACACTGGAATCCTTGAAACATTTCGTTCATTTCTTCGATGTTCCAAAAGTCCCGATGGATATTATTTTTAATCCTGTCGTGACGAGGTTTGGCCCGAATCTTGCTTGGGCGGCACGTTTGCTCTTCGGGCCGAAGAGCCCGCGGATTCGTCGAAAAAGACAACCTGCTCCACACAAAGAGTGCATATATATATATATGTATATCATGGTAAGGGGTATTATTATCAGGCCGAAAAAATACGTATTCGGTTACGAAACCGTATTTTCTTGAAATAGATGGAGGCGTTCCTCTACGTTTCCGTAAAAAGAGCGAAGCGTATTTTTTCCGGGCTTGCTCCTTGTACGTTTCGGTGAAAAATTTCCCGCTTTTTTCGGCGACTGGAGCAGACACCGGTCACGCGTGCTGTCTTCATCACACCACACCTAGACAGCACCACCAACACCCCAAATCGCTTCCCGAGGCAACTCCACTACCATGGCTGAGCGCCGGAAGCGCCAGTATCCCAAGGGGCCCGCAGCGCAACGCCGGGAGAAGCGCCGTCGAGGAGCTATCGACGAGGTCGGTGCAGCCCAGGAACACAGGAGATCTCTCAGTCTTGGGTCTTCTGTGGGCCGTAGTAGTGGCGGCGGGCGTGGTGGCAGCAGGAGAAGCTCATCGTGCCCACTGCCCTCAGGAACGGGAGCCCATCTACGAGCAGCCCAAGCGGCTTCCGTGGGCCCAACACGAGGCGGACCCCGATAAACGGCAAGGCTGGCGGCGGTCGTACCGCATGGAGAAGGCCAGTTCCACAAGCTTGTCGAGCTACGCCGCCCTTCGCTGGCAGTCAACGCCTTCTTCGGCGGTGAGTGTTGATGTGTAAATAAATGCAGCCGCCCACGGCAGGTATGCGTAAGGCTTCCTGTCATGTATACGTAGAGAACAACGGGGAAGAGCAAGTCTTAAACCCAGGAGAAACACTACTGCTGTAGACTGCCTTGCTGTTTGTCTGCTATCTTTTTCAAAAAAAATCTCCCTCGTCGAACNCGATAAACGGCAAGGCTGGCGGCGGTCGTACCGCATGGAGAAGGCCAGTTCCACAAGCTTGTCGAGCTACGCCGCCCTTCGCTGGCAGTCAACGCCTTCTTCGGCGGTGAGTGTTGATGTGTAAATAAATGCAGCCGCCCACGGCAGGTATGCGTAAGGCTTCCTGTCATGTATACGTAGAGAACAACGGGGAAGAGCAAGTCTTAAACCCAGGAGAAACACTACTGCTGTAGACTGCCTTGCTGTTTGTCTGCTATCTTTTTCAAAAAAAATCTCCCTCGTCGAACCATGCAGCCAGGGTATGCATACACGCAGCAGCACTTCTTTCTACTGTACAGCAGTAGGTACAGCAGTGTCTGCATATGCATACAGCGGCAGTCGTTGTATGGGAACGACAGGAAGGTACTTTGGTGACGCTGAAATAAGTTTAGCAGTATGGATAGAGCGTGCAACACACGCCGGCACCACTAAATATTATACATGCCTCGTCGGGAGCCTACACAAGTTGTCGCATCCCGCAATGATAGCATACAAGAGTCGACACGTGCCCCTTATATGCATATGCGAGGTTAGTTGTGTGTTCCCTGAAGAACACAGAGCCGTCTCACAACCCTAGTCGGGAGGTGTATTGGGCCGGTACTCTGGCGAGTTTAACGATGACATGCGTCCTTTGACGCTGGCGATTGCAAACACGCCCCCTTTGACACTGGTACATATTTCCTGACCGACACACGCTCATCCTGCGAAATTATCTGCGCGTCGCTCCGAAACCCTACAGCACTGCGATCGCCAATCAACGGCGCCATAGCTGTAGAAGTCCGCGTTGCCGTGGCGTTGAGGATCCTGGCTGGCGCTAGTTACTGGGATGTTGCCCTCATGTTTGGCTTGTCGGTGCCGACCACGTACCAGATCTTATGGTCGGTGATCGACGCCATCAACAAGACGCCTGCGGTTGGGGCATTCGACTTCCCCCTGACCGAGGAGGGCTGCATGCGAAATGCCAACAGGTTCAAGGTGAGGCCTAACGGTGGTCATTACTGCTGCTGTGGGTTATTATTGGCGGCATTCTCTTGACCAGCCGCGAGATGTCGTTTTTTTTTAATTACGTCTGGCGTTTCCAGCTGTTTTAGTGTAGGGAGGCCTATACACAAGCCTTCGACGGTAACGCAGGAAAAATAATGTCGTGCCCGGCGGATACAAGTTCGGATTGTCATCGTGGTCAGCATGCCTATAATCGAAAAACAACCCCCGCGTCCCGGGTGGTTCGCCAGCTGTTGGTCTTTGTACAAATGGCCTTTTTACAAATATATGTTTTTTTTGTGTCATCATTAGTGTATGCTGGCCGTGAAGGTTCCGCCCCGCAACAGTGGCCCGGCAACTGCTTTTAGTCAACCACGTGGCTCTTAGATACCCTGGTACGTTTTTACCGCTGAACCTGACGCAACATTAGGATTAGCAAACACGGTATGTGCACCGTTGCTGGTGATGGCGCCTTCGCACACGACATCAACCCACACAACGTACAGCCGAACGCAATTTACCGAAGTTCGTCAACGTCCATCTCTCGACTAATTATTATCCCCTTCCCGGCACTGCTACTTTCCCGCCCTTGTGTCTGCCATCTACAAATGCAGGAGAAGAGCACCGATGGCATTTTCTCCTGGGTCGTCGCCGCCGTGGATGGTCTGTTCATCAAGACCAAGGCTCCGTGTGCGAAGGACACCGCCAACGTCATCGCGTACTACTCCGGCAGCAAGTCCGCGTACGGCATCAACGTACAAGCGATGTGCACCGCCGACTACCGGTTCTGCGCAATGTCGGCGATCTCTCCAGGCTCCACGAACGACTGAGTGGCATGGAATCGTTTTTCCCTTGCCGAGGCCGTTGCCCGCTTGACCGCCGGATTTCACATCATTGGTGACGCCGCCTACCCCATCGGAGAAAAGCTTAAGCACGTATCCAGCTCGCATCGCGTCGCGTGCGCACAAGCGGGAAGTGGGGACGGGTCTACATAGGGGCGGACGGAGGCGGATGGGGGGGAAGGCCGCTAATACAAGCGGGCGAGAGGCGCGGCGGGGGTGAAGGGGGGGGGATGGGGCGCGCGGGGATGCGATACTGGCCGTGG